TCAGAGTATGATGTTCTAAAGTTCCTAGTCACTTATTCAGTATGAAATTGTTTGAGACAAATAAGGTAGTCTTGGAGTTTCTGATGTTTTCAGGGTCTCACTTCTCGGCAGTTTGACAGCCTGAATGGTGAATTTTCTTTTTTAAATAGTGATGGGCTTGGGGACGTTAGGCTTCCTGGCTTATTTAAGGGTTTAGGGGGCAGGGAGGAATGTTTATAATAAAAGTACAGAGTTCTTGTAAGTTTCTTGTCACCTGGATTCTGAATGTCCTAGTTTTAGATCCTGTTTTTGTGTAATTCCAGTGTCCGTCGGGTCTTTAATGCTTCAAGTCACAGATATGTACTTTCAACCTTAACAAAGTCCTCTGGCTGGTATCGTCATGCATCTGTCTTGTTATCTCTAACCAGATATGGTTGCAGTGTGTATTGGGAAGCTTCTGATCAGTGAGGTTTCACCCCTGTGCAGAGGGCCAGCAAAGCCTTCAACATAGGGTGTAAATGCCCCACCGCCAGCCTCATGGTGACTCGTCACTGTGGTGAATTTCACCCAGAGGAAACAATTAGGGGAGAGGGCAAGGTCAAAGCAAAAGGCAGGTGAAAGCAGCAGAGCAGTCCATGCTGAGGAGTGAGGTGGATGGGGACTGTCTTTGCTTCTCACCATCTGGGTACCTTTACATTTGCCTGGCCATCAGGCTGTGAAGGGAATGTAGCACGGTACAGTGGGAATGGGGCTAGGAAGCCACTGCCAGCCCTTTGCTAGTGCTAATCCCAGCTCTAAGAGTGACTTCTTGTGTGGCTAGGGCAAGTCCCATGACCTCTCTGTATTTCAATATGCTTGTTCCAAAAATGGGGATGATACTCAACGGCAAAAGGAAGTTGGTGAAAGTGCTTTGCAAAAAGAAAAAAAGCATTAATGCCATCAGTGTCGAACATTGGAACTTAACACAGAGGACATGCAAACTAATGGCACAGGAAGGACTTAGAATGTTAAACATTAATAAGGGAAGGCTCCTATGCAAATATACCACTCCCGTCCTGTACCGACAGACTTCTAATCTGCCCTTATAAATCCTGCAGGCACTGACCTAGAAGGCCATCAGAACTGTAGGCTAGAAAAAAAAATGGCTTCCTGTCTTAGTTTCCTTGTAAACACTAACACTGGGCACTTCGGAGTTTCCCATCAGGGAGAGTGCATGTACGACTAGCAATGTGCATTCCACCCAACGGGCAGAAATGACTTGAGTAAACAGTAGGACAGTCAGGCTGAAGGAAACTGAGGCAGGAGGCCACTTTGCATTTCCAGCCTCAAAGTAAACACAATATTAAATACATACACACAGGGTTTTTCAGTCGAGGCCAGCAGCTGGCAAGTTTTGTTTCGCTAATAGGATTTTTTTTTAAAAGCCTGTATGCTGCTTTGTGTAGTAAATTGCTTGTATAGTTCCGGTCTGAGCGAGGTGTCGTTTTTAAAGTCTATTTTAGGGCTGTCGATTAATTGCAGTTAACTTACGTGATTAACTCCAAAAAAATTGCACTGTTAAACAATATTTTGGATGTTTTTCTATATTTTCAAATATATTGATTTCTATTACAACACAGAATACAAAGTGTACAGTGCTCACTTTTGTTGTAGGAGCAGCAGTGAGCTGCATGCTCTGTATAACCTGTATGTTCAAAAGGTCTGTTAAACCTTCCCCCCCCCCCCTTCTCCTCTCCCTCTTTAAATACCTGTGAAATGGCTTTTCCCCTCCCCCTCCCCCCTGGAATGCTTGTGGGATGAATGGGCTGCTTGAGCAGCTGGAAGATCAGAAGAGCTCCCAGGTAGACAAGGTGTCTGGGGCTATGATTAGGCAGCGATCACACACCCAATGCATGGACACTGCCCGAGATGGAGTGTGACCAACCAGACACAGCCAAGTCAGCTCTAGTCACAGGCCATGAGGAGCAGGTCCTTAAAAGGGGAAGGGGCCATGTGCTCAGGAGTGCACTCACAAGCTTGTACCTCCCGTGAAGGCCCTTTGCCCGGACCACCTGGCCATGGTTCGCCGCATTGCATTCCATCGTGCCTTGGGAAGACTGACCTCCATCGCACCGCCCATCGCTGCACTGTGGGACACTTACCTTGAAGGATCCTGACCTCTCCAATGCTGTGCCTGTCCTGGGAGCGTGAGTATGCGAGTGAGAGTGTGCCCCCCCACCCTTTGAGCTTAGCTATCAGTATAATAAACATGCTGCTTTCTGCCAGACTCTGGTGGGTCATTAGTCTCCCCAAGCTTACTAGCTGGCCCAATTTTGGGTAACAACTTTATATTATTATTTTTGATTACAAACATTTGCACTGTAAAAATGAACAAAAATAATATTTTTCAAGTCACCTCATACAAGTACTGTAGTGTAATCTCTTTATCATGAAAGTGTAACTCATAAATGTAGATTTTTTTTTGTTACAGAACTGCACTCAAACAAAACAATGTATAACTTTAGAGCCTACAAGTGCACTCAGTCCTCCTCCTTGTTCAGCCAATCGCTAAGACAAACAAGTTTGTTTACATTTACGGGAGATAATGCTGCCTGCTTCTTATTTACAATGTCACCTGAAAGTGAGAACAGGCATTCGCATGGCACTTTTGTAGCTGGCGTTACAAGGTATTTACATGCCAGATATGCTAAACATTCATATGCCCCTTCATGCTTCGGCCACCAATCCAGAGGATATGCTTTCATGCTGATGATGCATGTTTAAAAAAAAAATAATTAAATTTAATTAAAAAAAATTAATTAAATTTGTGACTGAACTCCTTGGGGGAGAATTGAACGTCTCCTGCACTGTTTTACCTGCATTCTGCATATATTTCATGCTTTAGCAGTCTCGGTTGATGACCCAGCACATGTTCGTTTTAAGAACACTGTTACCAGATTTGCCCTTTGCTTTGGGGTATGCTCATTTATTAGGGTTACTCTTCTGGGGGGGATTCTGTACTTCTATCAATGTACTGCTTGTGTCATGTGTGTTCTCATATGGAGCTCTACTTCTCCCTGCTGCAAGTTCCCTCCCAATGGAGCTATCCTGCAGGACCTCGGGTCCCCAGGGCTGGGTTCTTCCAGCCCCAGAATCAGACAAACATACACACACATTAACAGAGCGCGTCTGAGAGGACTGGGTTAATCAGCACTCCCAAGCTGACCCCTTATATGTCCCTGGACTCAGTATGCTGAGTCGAGCAGCACCTCCAAGCTGTCACCCTCATATGTCCCAGGTTCAGCATGTCCCTGTCCCCACTTTCACGTGATCAAAATCAACCTTCTGCTGGTGGCATCTGACTCAGATGATGAAAAATGAACATGTGTCGGTCTGCTCTGCTTTGGATCGTTATTGAACAGAACCAGTCATCAGCATGGATGGATATCCCCTGGAATGGTGGTTGAAGCATGAAGGGACATAGGAATCTTTAGCGCATCTGGCATGTAAATATCTTGCGACACCCGCTACAACAGTGCCATGCGAACGCCTGTTCTCACTTTCAGGTGACATTGTAAACAAGAAGCAGGCAGCATTATCCCCTGCAAATTGAAACCAAACTTGTTTGTCTGAGCGATTGGCTGAAGTAGGACTGAGTGGACTTGTAGGCTCTAAAGTTTTACATTGTTTTATTTTTGAATGCAGTTTTTTTTTTATGTAATTTTACATTTGTAAATTCAACTTTCATGATAAAGAGATTGCACTACAGTACTTGTATTAGGTGAACTGAAAAATACTATTTCTTTTGTTTTTTACAGTGCAAATATTTGTAAACAAAAATAAATATAAAGTGAGCACTGTACACTTTGTATTCTGTGTTGTAATTGAAATCACATTTGAAAATGAAGAAAACATCGAAAATATTTAAAGAAATGTTATTCTATTATTGTTTAATTGTGTGATTAATTATTTTAATCGCTTGACAGCCCTAGTCTATTTATTATTTGCAGGCTCAAGTGAGGTATAATTTGAATTCTCTAGGTCCACAGCAATCAAAAAGAGCTGGATCAGTGAGTTGATCTTGCATTAATAAATGTTCCAAGAATTTTAAGGATTTCTAAGCAATGAGAATGTATTTTAGTATTTAAAAAGACATAAAACCTCTTATTTATAACGGCAGTAACGGAGTGCCTTGCATTACAGCATCCTGTGATGTGGGGAAGTATTGATCCATTTTACAGATGGGGAATGGAGTCAGAGAGATTAAGACCCTGATTCAGGAAGGTACTTAAGCATTTGCGTGCGAGTGGTTGCTGCCAGACAAGGAGCGAGTGGCTGAGCCAGTAACTGAACCCAAAGTTTCTTAAGTCGCAGGTCAGTGCTTTAACGCCAAGGCCATCAGCTTTCCTCCCTGTTTTGTTTCCAATTGTTTAGACAACAATAGGGTGGTCCTTCAAAATCATAGCAAGCAAAGTAGCATTTGTTTAATGATTTCTAAATAGAACTAGTAAGAAAATGGATTTTCCGTCCCACTAAAAAATTCAAGATTTTGAAAATTTTTATC